TTAGGTGTCTTGTGTCCAAATTTGGTGTCAATTCGTCCAGTGGTTTTTGAATTCTGTTAATCCCACAAACAAACATCACTTTTTTATTTATATAGATATCATATTATTATTGTTGTTGTTGTTATTATATTGCATTACATTATAATATTATAAATATTATATGTACATACAATATTTGTGTTTTGTTTGTTTGTTAAAAAAATGCATTACAACTGTTTGGCTTTCTCGACACGATAAATAAATATTATATTATATTATTAGAATAGCACAGGAGACAAGGTGGAACTGTCCCTTGGCCCCCTTCACTCTTCACTCTGGCCCAGAGCTACAGTTGGTGCTGGGGAGAGGGGTCTCAAGCTGATGGCATATCGAGGAGACAAGATGGAACTGTCCCTAGGCTTCCCCTCTCTTCACTCTGGCCCATGCAAAGAATAAGGAAGTACTCCATCAGTGTCACAAATGGGCGGTGAAGCGACAGCTCCCCTGGTGGCCAGAATACCCTCATCAAAAGCTGGAACGTTAAATAGCCTCTGTGTGTCTGTCTATATATGTTGTGTGGCTATGGCATTGAATGCTTGCCAAGTATATGTACATTGTAATCCGCCCTGAGTCCCCTGCAGGGTGAGAAGGGTGGAATATAACTATTGTGAATAAATAAATAAATAAATAAATAAATAAATAAATAAAATCTGTCTACACTGTGGAATTTATGCGATCTGAGCCCACTTTAACTGCCATGGCTTCGTGCTGTTATTTATTTGTGACATTTATTTATTTATTTACTGTATTTGTATACCACCTTTCTCAGCCCGTAGGCAACTCAAGGCGGTTAACAGGGTAAAATTCAATGCTTACAATATCATAAATACAATTAAAAACATAACATATAATAAAAGCTAAACAAATCAATAAAATATAAATTCATAGTGTCTTCTTGTTAAAAACGTTGTCCGGACTCATTGTCGTCGTTTTTCTATGTTAGTTACTCCGCATTTGCAAATGCTTGTTCAAAAGCCACATCTTTACTTTTTTCCGGAATGTTAAAAGGGAGGTGGCCGATCTAATGTCTATAGGGAGGGCATTCCACAGCCGAGAGGCCACCACCAAGAAGGCCCTGTCTCTCGTGTCCGCCAAACGTACTTTTGACGAAGGCGGTAACGAGAGCAAGGCCTCCTCAGACGATCTTAAGGTCGTAGATGGTTCATAAGGGGAGATGCGTTCGGACATGTAAGTTGGGTCAGAACCATTTAGGGCTTTATAGGCTAAAGTCCGCACTTTGAATTTTGCCCGGTAGGAAACTGGCAGCCAGTGGAGCTGGCACAACAGAGAAATTGTATGTTCCCTGAGCGCAGCTCCTGTTAGCAATCTGGCTGCCGTCCTTTGGACCATTTGAAGCTTTCAAACAGTCTTCAGAGGCAACCCCACGTAGAGCACGTTGCAGTAGTCTATACGAGATGTAACCCTGCCCTCTCTTACTCTGAAGGGGACTCAGAGCGACTTACAAATGATATGTACATACTATATATTATTAGCATAGCATAATATTAGCATATATTACTATATTGTACACTATTTTGTTGTTTATCGTTAGTTGCTTCAGACCCTTTGTGACCTCATGGACCAGCCCACGCCAGAGCTCCCTATATTGTACTATACCACTATATTATAATATTATTCATAATGTTACATGTAATATATAGTTAATATTATTATATTGTATTATTAACAGTAGCATTATATTGTATTATATTATATTATTATCAAAATTATATGTATATACAATATATTATATTATTAGCATATCACAATATTAGTTTTATATAGTACTATATTGTTGCTGGGGGGAGAGGCCCCCTACTAATGGTACAGAAGACAAGGTGGAACTGTCTTCCTGACTTCCCTCTTCACTCTGGCCCCAGAAGCTATGGAATCCTGGGAGCTGTAGTTTCACAAGGCTTTCTCTGCCAAGGAGTGCTGGTTGCTCACTGAACTACAACTATAGCATTGAGCCATGGCAGTTTAAATGTTATCAGATCTCAATAATTCTACATTGCAGGTGCAACCTAATTTAGATTTTTAGACTTAGAATCACAGAATCATAGAATTGG